CTTAATAAAATTGCCTTCTTTGTTATTGATATTTGTTTCTATAAGCATGATAATATTTAGTTTGTATTTGTTGATCTATTCAATCCAGAGTTGAAGTTTTCTTGGGTTTGATTTGAGGCCCTTAGTGTTTGTTGTGCAGATTTTCTAGAAAAGCTCTAAGGTGGAATTGTGTAGATTGAGATCAAGTTGTTGATTGTGAAGAGGAATTAGGATATTGTTTGTATCATATATCTGTAGTGGTTGTGTATTGATAGTTTCATCATTTGTTGAGTTTGACCATGTGAATGTGTTTGATGTTTGGTTTGGTAGGTGGTTATATGTTGTTTCTTGTGACTTGTCAGATTCATTTTCTGATAGTTCTTGATTGTTGGTACTGTATATATTACCTATTTAATTCTGAGAGAGGGTTGATTGTATATTGTTTTTTGTAGCTGCATTGAATACTGCTACTATTTGATTCATGCTGCTTTGCATACTGTCTAATGTTAAGTAGAGCTGTAATTGACAGTTTCTAATGTCATTGATGTTGTTATTTGTTAATTGTTGTATTGATTGTAATTGGGGTTTGAAAGAGAGGCTACTTGTTGAGTTGTTATATTGATCATTGTCCATTGTTTCATAGTACTCTTCATTGTAGTATTCAAGGTTGATAATGCATTTGTCAATTTCTACAAGTTGGGTTTTCATTATTTGTAGTTCTTGGCAGACTTTCTTGAAGAGTTTGGAGATTTCTGTTAGCAATTGTGGATTTTCTTGAAGGTTTTGTTGGTTGTTCTGGATTGCATTAACATAGAATCTATTTCTTGTGTTTCTTTGAGGTCTGGGTTTGTTGTGGTTACAGATTGTTGCTGTTTTTGCTAATCTAAATTTGTGATAGAATGTGCTGAATTTGGATGTTTGTTCATTATTGTAGATATTCCATTGTTAACATTGACTTTAATTGAGCAGTCTTTAATGAGGTGTGAGATTAAGTTGCAAATTGTGCAGAGCTTGGTAAAGATTGGTACAAAGGAGAGTTCAATTTCTCCAATGATATATTTTTGTACCACTTTAAATAGATCTTCTTGTGTGTCAAAGCTAATAACTGTGAATTTTTTGGATCTGTATAATACTGCTGCAGTTCTTGGGATATAGCATATACATCCTTTGCATTGTAAGATAATATGTTTAAGGTCCCATGCTGAAGTGTTTAGAAAGAGGTTGGTAAGTTTGGTGATGATTTCATATCTTTGTTTCATTTGAAAGAGTAACTATTCTATACTGTTAATTAGAACTGAATTTTTTTTGATGAGTGTGTTTCTGAGATTGATAAGTCTGTCTTTGACTGTTTTGTCTATGAAGGTGATTGTGGCATACTGCTACAAGTTTTGTGTTTTTATAATAATTCCCTGAATTTCTTTGTATTTGATGAAAGCCTGTTTGACTTTGATTAGTTTTGTATTCAATGGGATGTTCCAAATCATGATTAAGTTTTCTTTATTGATCTCTTGGCATTCAATTTTCATATGTGATAGTCTTGTATTATTTATGTTGTGTAGGTTGATTGTAGTAGTATGTTGGGTAGCTTGTTGATTACTAAAAATAATAATGATTTTTATGTCTTCATTTTTCCTCTCACTGTGTACTGTTAGGAGGCCTTCTGGGAAATTAAGAGCCAGTATGATGTGTTCAATTTTTTGGTGAATTGTTTTGCTTTTGACAAGATCTGTGGAAATGTCAACCTTGTATCTTTCTCTACCATATTTAGTTGCTCTATCAAATGGTAATCTTGATCTTGATTTGCCTTGTAAGTTATCTGTTTCTTTGTCTTTGCCCTTGACAACTGAGAATCATTTTTATTTCAAGTTGCTTTCTTGTTTTGTCTCTATCTCTTCGTCTGTGTTATCGATTTTGGCTAATTGCAATTTTTTGCTTGTAATGCTTTTGTAGTCTTCTTGTTGATTTTTTAGCCTGTTAATTGTATTGAATTATGTCTTTACAATGTCACTCCAGAAAGCATTTGAGTTTGTTAATTTTTGGCTTTGTTGTATTAAATGTTTCAGTGCTTTGTTGTTATTGTTGGTGATCTTGTGAGGATACGTCTGGTTGTGTACTGATAGTAGAGATTTCTTCTGTTGTTTGATAGTGCTGTTGATGATTTTGTTTTTTTATAGTGTTGTGAGTTTCTTGACTGCTAAAGTGGTAGGTTTCTTTGTATATAATTGTATTCTGAAAGTATTTAGGTCTTTGCCTACTCTTCTATCATATCTTAAAGTATATTCTGTTGCAGAAAGGGAGTTGAATAAAGCTTTAAAGCTTCTGTTGAAGCTTGATATCTTTTCTTGACTTTCATTTTGTAAATTTCCAAAAAAGAAAATTTTTAAGAAATCTGTTGTGTATAATAAAAAGTTTTTTGATTTTATAGAATATAGTAGCAATAGTAATAGTAATGTTAATAGAAATAAAAAAGTATGAATAATAATAATAACAATAATCTTAACCAAAATTAAAAAAAACTTAATTAACATTATTCTCTATTTAAAAAGAGTATATAAAACAGTTATGCAATATTGAAGTATTAAAAATTACTATAAGTAATGTAATAGATGACTTAAATAAAAAGTTATTAATTAATTTATCTTTCTAGAATGATATTATTATAAAAAGATCTTTTTGAAAATTACTAAAGAGGATTGTAACTTGAGTTATCTATAAAAAATAACAAGTGAAAGAAAAGAATTAGTAATACTTTTAAGATTAATCAAGGCAATTTTATACCTTGAATAAAGAAAAAAGTACAACTTATTTTAACATTATACAAATTTGACCTGTTTTTAGCAACAGACTTGCCAATTTAATATTAACAATATATTAGTTCGAAGGCTTTATTTGATGTTTTTAAGATTAGTTTTTGTTATATTAAGGTTTTTAAAGGCATATTTAATTGGAGAATGTCTATTATAAAATTGGCAATATTAATATTAGTGTTTAAAAGTTTATATATTTGTTTTTTGTCAAAGTTTTTATTATGTTTGAATTTTTTTCCAGAAATATTTATATGTCATTGATTATTTTTTGAATGCAAATAGAATTTTTTGCAAATCTAGACGTGATAGATTGTTTTTGAATTTATATTACAATATAGACATACAGTAAATTATTAGCATATATATTTAAAGATATTATATGGATATTAGAGAAAATTTTGAGGCTAAAATCAATATTTTATTATAATTATATTATATTTAATTAAGGAAAACTAAACAAGAAAATTTTTTATTATTCTTTAAAAAAATTATTATATAACAAATTAATTTATAAAATATATCATTTAGATTTAGATAAATCTAAATTTATAGAGTAAAATTATATGATAGTATATAAAAAAAATAATTAAAAATAAAAAAAAAAAGAAAATTTAAATCTAATTATAATAGTTATCGAGGAAAAAAACTTTTTATTGCTATAGAAAACAAATATACTATATAAAAAAATATTGTATATTATACTTGATATAATATTGACAAATATCAAGATTAAGTTTTAATTAATAATTTAAAAATAACAATATTGGACTTGCATGCTCGAAAAACAGTAAGAAATATTTTCTAAGGTTTTTTAAAAAAAATAGATTTTCTGCTTATATTTTTCTGGACAATAAAGATTTTTGTAATTTAATTAATAAAGAATTTGGCAAAATATTGCAACTTGTTATTAAGAGAACTTAATAATTTTTTGTCTGACCTGCTAATAGATAAAAAAATGTTATATATTGTGAATATCAAGAATCAGCAGTTAAAATAATCGTGTCACTGGAATTGATGCCCAAGTGTTGAACTTACAAGATGTCCTAATTCTAGAGAAGCCGTAATTATTCTATGTCGATCCTAACATTAATTAGAAAAAAAATATCATGCAATTCAACTATGGACTATGTACCATTCTTTGTATTATACTATCAATTTTCCAGAGCAATACTATCTGATAGACATTTGTTATATATACAACTACTGAATAAGAAACCTAAAAACTAAATAATTATTTATCCGAAGCCTTATAACTTTAAAAGAATTCAAGGATATCTTTTCACTTGAGTTACATACTAAATTATTATTCAAATACGTATACTATGAATTATGCCATTGATTTTTACCGGGATATGAACTACTACTATCTATCACACTTGGAGTCATTTTTTGTTCATATAAACAAAAAATGACTTGAGTCAAACTGTAATATCTCAGGTGTAGCATGTACAGTTTACCCTCGCTATAATGGATCTGTCGGGCTAAAAAAATACCTCCATTATAGCGAATATCCATTATAATGTTCCAGAATATAGCTCCGCTATAACGAGGGATCCGGTTTAACGGGTCCGCTATAGCGAGGGTAAATTGTATTTCATTTTTTTTTAGACCCTTCAAATGACCTGATTTTTTTTTTAGGCCACATCTGAAATGGTTGGTGTCTGCACATCGGGTTTTATGTAGGTTGTATTTGTGTCGCACCAGCGTGATGTGGATTTTTCTTTTCACGCCACGCCCGGCTGACGTGATTTTGCTTTTACAATACCGTGGTGGTATTATTATACTAATTGAAGACCCAAAGCCATGTTTCAGCATGGCGTGCATTTTACTTTTAGGCCACGCTCAAGTAATGACTCAATCGATTTTTTTATCATCACTCAAATGATGTGCATTTTGCTTTTTACAACACGCATCAAGGTGGTGTGATTCACGTTTTGATCATATTTCAAGATGTTTTGGATGAAATGCTAAGGTGAAGTGGTTTACGTTTCAGCTCACTTACTAAAGGTGTCATTTTAAATTCAGTTATAAGGCTACAGAAATTCCATTATGACATGTTGGCGCTGTCAGGCCACGCTTGAAGTATCCTATCCTGTACAAAATATTTATACACATGTAAGGTCAGTTGTACTTCCACATGATATTCAATCTTTATACACGTAACTATAAAAAGAGAGCAGGAGTAATATTTTCTCAACAAAAGCATTTTTAAAAATGAAAGATCAGCATTCATTAATTCTTACTTTTATTATTCTCCTGTATCTCCCTACACATCTGGCTTTATCGTGCAAGTCTATTAGTGACTGTCGTAATGGATTCGTATGCTCCACTGCTCCATTAATGAAAGGGAAATGTGTTTACGGGTGTCATGATAATTACGATTGTGCAATCGATACAACTCCTAACCAGAACCAGAAATGTGATAAGACATCTCCCTATTGGTCATGTACTTGTGGAAGTAAAAGCGCTTGTCCAGAAGGCGTATGTTTTAACGGACATTGTACCTTTTCCTGTTTGAAGGATTCTGAATGCGTGGAAGTATATGGTGACGGATATGTATGCTCAACTGTTCGACCAACGAATGGGACATGCATTTATGCGTGTCACTATGGAAGTGACTGTGCTAGCGATAATTGCAACAAAACTAAAACTCCTCATTGGTTATGCACTTGTGGCAATAAATGTAAGGGAGTAGGTAAATGTAAAGATGGATCTTGTATACTTTAGACTATGTGGATATTTTCTGGCATCGACAATTTATATAGCATAATTCAGTAAAAAATTTTATGTTTTGTTTATTAGCTCATGCGATTTCATGTAATTTATTAAAATCAAATCAGACATACAGCTGTTCTACAGTATTAGTTTGAATCTTATATATTTATTTCAAATAAAGTATGTTCCTTTTTACTATTACGTGCGTCAGGCACGTGGTACCAATAGGAATTTAACTTTATTCGTGATTGATTAGTTTTATATACTGTATCTGTCACAAGTAGCTTGAGTAAAAAAATAAAAATCCAAGGAAAAAAAATAAAACGTTTTCCTATGATATACCTTTAATGTACAGTATACCCCGGTGCATATTTATTGATACGTATACTCTATACTATAGTTGTCAGAAAATCTGTATTATGATAAATTCAGTGTTTTAAATAAAATTAGTAAAACTTGTATTATATTATGACAAATTCGTAATTTTATTACTAATTTTATAAAATCAGTAATACTTGTAAGGCATAAAAATTCATAATGTAATAATGTTATAATAATAATAATAGCATTAGTAATTTATATTTATAAAAATTCATAATAATAAATAATTTTTCTTATCTTAGTTATTACAAAAATGAGTTCGACATTATTTGATACAACAATTTGGAGTCATTCAGAATTATATGTTTGTGATCATTTTATTAAAGAATAGTTAGAAAATAAGCAATATTTAGTCAAATGTTGTAAATTAGTATCAGAAAATATCAAATTTAAATATAAATATATAAGGTTAGCAATCTCTTCTATATTTGATAACAAAAAACAAAAAAATATATTGAAAATTTCAATGAAATTAATAATATTACAAGAAAATAATTATTCAATTATTTCAGTTATTTCTATATTTTATTATTTCAGTTATTTTACTATTTTAATGCCTTTATTTGTATGTTATACATAAGAATATATACAGTATATAGGTATTATATAATAAAGATTAGAAAAAGGAAACTTAAAGTTTGGAAGTCTTGTTTGCTCTTTGGTTACATGGAAAAATGCCCATAGTAGTCCTTCTTTTTAACCTTGTCTTTATGCATCTTCTTCTTTATTACCATTCTAATAATTATCTACTTTATTATCCTCAATATTACCAATTTTCTTTTAAAACACATTCAAGTAAAATTATAAGTCCTCCTACTTGTTTCAACTAAACCTTTTCAAACAACTTCTATATAATATGCTTTACAATTCCATTTCAACAATATCAAAAATTTTTTCAAACTCAAAAACCAAAATCAGCTTAATCCAATTAAACAATCTATATAATCTTAATGGCCAACCAAAGTGGGAATTCCAATTTAACAAAAACTAAACTGGTATTAACCTGTTAGAAATGACAATAACAATAACAATACATAAAGACATATCAAATATTTATCAAATCAAAATAAATTTCTTGAAAATCTACTATATTAAAAAAAATATTATTAATTGACTTAACTTAGTTATTTATAGACAAGCATTAATCATACATAGACTATTGTTACACTTGATCTTTGCCCAAGATCATCACTACCCCTTGTCCGATTTTCACTAGCATTTACCCTTGAAATGTTGTTTATTCTAGAATAATTTTTGTATTACTATCTTTGTTATTGTTTAGCACTGTACTTTTCGTGCTAATGTTGCTCTAGAAT